TTCTGCCAGGGGACTTTCTCAATGTCATCAGCAATGTGCAAAAGTGTTTGTTTTCTTTGCAATCTTGCCAGAACTAAAGGTAATCATCCTCATCAATTTCTGTGAAGTTGGCAAAAAAAATATTCTACCTTGCTTGCTGTTTTAATTTATACTGCTAATGGCTACTTGAATAAATTTTTGTTGTCTACTAACTTAAAATTTGTAAGGCTTTCCCAGTTTGTCATTTGCCCTTTAACTTTGTCGTTTGCCATGCACACACTTAAAAGTTACATTATTAAATATTTTTTTTTCTCTTGTTGCTTTTGGATTTTCAATGTTAAGGTCAACTCCATCCCCAAGCCATAAATATCTAAAATTTTAAAAATTTCCCATTTAGATCTTTAATCACTGTGGTCTGAGGTAGGATTCTTTAGATGGGTTCCTATTCATGCCATTACCATATGATTAAAATCCTGTCCAACTGAACTGAAACATCAATGTCCATCTATTGCTTCCTGGTCTTGTTTTTTCCTGCGATAAACAATGTAAAACTATATTGTCTAGACTACCACTATTTTTCAAATATGTGGGGGCAATTTTCAAACACATGCACTTAAATAATGTTGTTACTAAAGTGTTAGAATTATATAACGAGGCAGGGTGCACAACATTCCTGCACTGGGGTGTGGCGGGGTCCCTCAGCCCGGCCTGCGCCCTCTCGCAGTCTCAAACACATGCACTTAAATATGTTGTTACTAAAGTGTTAGAATTTAATTATATAACGAGGCAGGGTGCACAACATTCCTGCACTGGGGTGTGGCGGGGTCCCTCAGCCCGGCCTGCGCCCTCTCGCAGTCCAAGACCCCTTGGGGGGATGTCAGCCTGCTGGCTTAGGCCTGCTCCCCACAGGGAGCCTAAACCAGCAGTCCGATATCCCCCGAGGGGCCCTTAGCAGGGCAGGAGAGGCTCCCACCACCACCTCTGTGCTAGCCAGTAGTGAGCTCGGCTTCTGGCTGAGTGGTGCTCCCCCAATGGGAGCGGGCTAACCAGCAGGGGTCAGCTCCTGCATTGAGCGTTTATTGAGTTTAGAAGAGTGTTTTCTGTCACTAGTATGAACAGAATCTAATTTTCACTTTATTTTTATTTCTAGTTGTATTTTTCTTATCCAGCTGACATCAGTTTTCTTGTTTTTAGTGTTTTCTAGGCCTCAAATGCAAAAATTTTATTTTTTTTAAATATATATTTTATTGATTTTTTAGAGAGGAAGGGAGAGGGATAGTCAGAAACATTGATGAGACAGAAACCTCGATCAGCTGCCTCCTACACACCCCCTACTAGGGATGTGCCCGCAACCAAAGTACATGCCCTTGACTGGAATCGAACCTGGGACCCTTCGGCCCGCAGGCCGACGCTCTATCCACTGAGCCAAACCGGTCAGGGCTATTTATTTATTTATAGTTAATTTCAGGTTATGCATTTTGACAAGAATATAGATGATCTGCACAACAAATGCATCATTTTGGAATCACATCAGATTGCTAAACTACTGGTGGTACCAGGTTTGATTAGCTGGTTAAAGTGCTAACTACCAGGTATAGTTCTGCTGTAAAGGTGTTCTTTTTAGTTTTAGTATCCATAAATTATACTTGCTTTGAATCATTTATCTCACTGGGAGTGGCATGATGATAGTTAAATAATTCTATTATCCCTTTTATATATGTTGGATATTCTCTAAAGCAGTGGTCGCCAACCTTTCGGACCTCACGGACCACCCTGGAAAGAATAGCTCCCGCCCTAGCCAGTTTGGCTCAGTGGATGGAGCGTTGGCCTGCGGACTGAAGGGTCCCGGGTTCGATTCGGATCAAGGGCATATGCCCAGGGTTGCAGGCTCCGTCCCCAGTGGGGGCGGGGATATGCAGGAGGCAGCCCATCAAAATCATTGATGTTACTATCTCTCTCCCTTCCTCTCTGAAATAAAAGAATAGCTGCCCGCCCACACCTTCACTTTTTATTCTGGATTTTTTTAAAGTTACTGTTAAGATCCATTATTGCAGTGGTTCTCAAAGTGTTGTTCCCAACCAGCAATATCAGTATCACCTGGAACTTGTTAGAAATGCAACTCAGTAATTTAGACACCTCACAATGATTCTGATGAATGCTCAGATTGGAGAACTGTATTGTCTTTGTCCCTAATTTGGCCAGTGGACACCTGATAGGCAACTGCTTAAAAGGATGAGATTGATTTTGGAAGACACCCCCCGGTAAAGTGGAAAAAACGCACAATAGGATCCTTTTGTGGAAAAAAGGGAAACAAAATGCTAGGAGTTTGGGGGTAGGAGTGGGGAACTAACATTTATATCCTACAGTGCCTTTTGAATCTTTTACCAGGACTTGTATTTGATAATGGAGAGGAAGGAAGGGGAGCTATGTGATCAAGTACAACTCGGGAAAGTAGAGACAGAAGGGAATGCTCCTCCCTCGAGCTGTTGGCCGTGTGCTGCAAGGGTAGTGTCTCTTACACCGCCGTCCATAATGAAAAACCAGCTCCATCAGACATTTATACGTCCTGCATTCCCTCCATTTCCCGCTCTCTGCCTAACTAAGAAAGCTCAATTGTAACCCGCCAAGTCAACAAGCTAACACTTGGGGGCCACCCAACTCTGTTAGGAGTGTGAATTGTGCTGACAGCGGAGTTTCAGGCCGGAAGTCTGGGGTTCAAGTACTGCACTGCCTCGCAGGGAGCCGTGGGTGACTCTGAACTCCGGCCATCCGTTTCTCGGCCAGACGAGGGGCCTGGACCTTATCAGTTCAGATCAAAGTCTTCGTAACCCCCTAATGTTTCTCTTTCCCAGCGACCAGGCACACCCGCTTTCCAGGGCCAGGGGTAGAAAGGGACCCCACGTCCCAGCGCCAAGGCTGAATGAGCGTTTCTGTCGGGGTCTTACCCTCCGGGCCGCGATTCCCGACGCGCCGGGGTCCCAAATGCTACAGCCCGGCCTCTGGCCCGGCACTCGGGAGAGCGAACAAGTAAAGTTCCGGAACTTTTTGTACTAGTGGTTGGTGTCGATTTCAAACTACTGGTAGAGCCAAGATGAAAGGGACAGCGGCAACTGTGGCCGCCAAAGGACGAGCCGGAAGCGGCGGGCCTTCGGGCGGAAGAGGCGGGACGAAACGCGCCGGCGCTGCGTCCCCTTCCGGGCGTCAGTTTGGTGGCGGGAAACGGGA